CTGTGCCCTACTTCTAATGATAGAGCACTGAGTCAGCTTTTTTCTTTTGCTGCTCATAACTCAGACAGTTAAGGAAAAGCAAAGGTACTTTTGTGAAAGTTTGGGGAGCATAGAAGAGGTCGGGTACAGGGTGGGCAGGATCCAGGCATGGACAGAGATGGGAAGAGTCTGACGTGGGATGAAACTTCAGCTGTGCAGACCCTACCCTGGAGTTCTAACTGTCGCTATGTTTCTCCCTCAGACCAAAGATGTGACCAAGGCCATGGATGAGAGGAAATTTGATGAAGCCATGAAGCTGAGAGGACGGTGAGGAAATGACCAGAAGCTCACTGACTGCAGAAATCAGACCACAGCATGAAGCCAAAAATCTATATAGTTCCAGACCCAAAATATGGGTCTTCTGCTTCATATTATTGTCTCTGCAACAATTTCTTCCCCAAGAAAGTTAGTTGTGAGGTGACCAGGAGGCTCAGTTCATCCCAGGGATGCTGTCCCTGGGATCAACCTTTTACTATCTGTTGTTTCTATATGTGGACCTCAGCTAGATTGTAAGTTTCTCTAGACGGGGGACAGTCTCCTGTGGTGCTGAGTGCAGTGTCTGGGAGAATGCCCAGAGAGTGTCTGATGAGTTAGTGGCCCCTTTGCAGCCCCTGCCTAGTCCAGGCTCTATCTCAGTTATGTTCTTAGAGGCCTGCGCTGTGGAACTTCACTCTGGGAGCAAAACTTCACAGCAGGATCTGCATGGCTGCTGGCCATGGGAACAGCCTGAAGACACCTCTCTCTCTCTGCTTTTTACAGGAGCTTCATGAACAACTGGGAGGTATACAAGCTTCTGGCTCATGTCAGACCCCCAGTATCTAAGGTACTGGCAACTTTCCCTCACCCTTTGACCTCCCCCTCCCTCAGTCCCTCTTTATGAAGTGCTGCCCCCAATCCATACAACCTAATCCCTGCCCACTTCTTTGCCCCAACTCTAATCTTCAGTGCTGGGACCCTTACCCTATGGTGATGATTTTCTCTTATCCACCCCAGATACCAGCCCCATGTTCTTGGTGGGGCTAAAAACATCTTAGCTCTGGATGTCTGTAACCTAAGACCCGTGCCCATTTCAGGGCTGACAAGATGACATGCTAAGAATGAGAAAGAGGGCTGCTATATTTTTCCTTTGGAAGAATCTGGGAATAATCACATCTGAGTATATATCTAAGCCACCTCTTCCATCAGAGTAGTGGTTCTCAAGATTTAGTGTATATCAGAATTATCTAGGTTGCTTACTAAACATGCAGATTCTTGGGTGCCTCTCCCTAGAGGGGATTCAGATCTGGGTTAGGGGCCAAGAATATGCTCCCCAGGTGGATTCTGATGCAGGTGGTACAAGGATCACATTCTGGGAGATGCTGTTCTGGAAGGTTTCTTGTTCATTATGTAATGATGATATCTGGGACTAGGGGACAGCAGCTTTATTGATTTTTGGCACAGAATTTTGCTTCCATAGTATAAGGTAGAAAGCTGTGCTAGTACTCCCTGGGAGAGGGGCTCGTAGTCACTGGCAGACGTTCTGATCCCAGGACAATAAGGGCCCAGAGTTCTGCCTCTCTTACTGACCTCATCCCCCTCCCCCTGCTGGGGATGCTGTCCTCTTTCCCTGCTTCCTCCTTTATAGAGTGGTTTGCACACAGTGGCTGTGATGAACGTGGGGGCTCCGGCTGCAGGCATGAATGCTGCTGTTCGCTCCACTGTGAGGATCGGCCTCATCCAGGGCAACCGAGTGCTGGTTGTACATGACGGCTTTGAAGGCCTGGCCAAGGGTCAGGTATGGGGACTATAAGGGAAGAGGGCACGTATTCTGGGGCCAAGGAGCAGTAGTCACAGGAAAGATAAGTGTAGCAGGGGTGACCTGTCCACTCACTATGCTTCCCCTATCCCTCACTACCTCTCTACTCTCTCAGGGTTTAGGCAGAAGTAGATATTTAACTTTAGGGCAGGTGGAGCAGGCAGGAGCCACTGGAATGAACATTTGTGAACAAAATGTCTTATTTAATTCTCTATCCCAAAGTTCAGCACAGGGTCTGGCGTAGGTAGGTGCATAACATTTGTGAAAGAGCAATCAGGATGGATCAAGCTCAATGTGTGGAGGAAAGCCAATACCCGGTGTTCTTCTTCCAACCAAGGGGGAATCAAGGAATGGGGTCAGAATTCAAGAAGTGCCATCAGTCCCACACAGGCTTCCTGGTGCATTAGCCATGATGCAGAACTGTGTGGTCTTTCCCTGCAGATTGAGGAAGTTGGCTGGAGCTATGTTGGGGGCTGGACTGGCCAAGGTGGTTCTAAACTTGGGACTAAACGGTAAGTGGCATTGCAGGAGCACCTCCTCCCAGTCACCCCACAAAGGTGTCCCTCAAACGTGAACATGAATTCATTAGGTCAGGGTCTGCTTCGACCACCTCTGTTGCCTGGGCCCTCTGCCCCAAGCTCACAGTTGTTTTGAGGAGGGCAGACATGCCTATCCAAACATGTTTGAGCAGCTCTGGCAATTTAGAGCCCAGGCATGTATCTTTGGATAGGGGTGAGAGGGTGCGGTAGGGAAAGAGCACAAATCAAGAAATTATGAAGCACCTTCTAACTCTAGCTTTTCTCTCCCTCAATTTTGCTTTCTCTTCCCCAAATTCCAACTCTCCTGCTTCCCCATCACTGGTCAAACTAGGACTCTACCCAAGAAAAGCTTCGAACAGATCAGTGCCAACATAACCAAGTTTAACATTCAGGGCCTTGTCGTCATTGGGGGCTTTGAGGTGAGTGCCCCTACCACTTCTCCCTCTCTCCTTCCACCTTTCCTCTCTCCCCATTCCTGCCCCTGCTGCTCTCTTCTTCTCAGGCTTACACAGGGGGCCTGGAACTAATGGAGGGCAGGAAGCTGTTTGATGAGCTCTGCATCCCATTTGTGGTCATTCCTGCTACGGTCTCCAACAACGTCCCTGGCTCAGACTTCAGCATTGGGGCTGACACAGCACTCAATACTATCTGCACGGTGAGAGGCCACCACCACTTCCCATCCCTTTTGGCCAGGATTATAATTCCTGGACTGAGTGTGGTCCTGGAAAGTGAGCTACTTTTATTGTTCCAAACAAGTGGCAATGTTTGAAAAATGTTTCAAATCCAGGCATTTCTGCAGACTTTAATGGTGTTCATTCTCCTCACCTGGAAATGCAGCAGTATTCTGCATACCAAACGCTTTTTCCTCCAAAAAAAAAAAAAAAAAAAGATGCAGATAGAGCTGATTGGTCTGTAGAGCTGTAGAGTTCCGTGAGGGGACTAGAAAGAGCACTAGGCAGGCATTCTCCAGCGCAGCCTCGCTACATGACCATAGCTACTATTGCTGGAACACTCATTTTGCAGCATGCTATGCTGCTGAGGCTTTTACGTGCACTTTTGCATTTTATCTTCATAATAGACATGCAAGGAAGATTATCTCTGTATTAGAGATGGGAAAGGTTTAGAGAGGTTAAAAAACCTCTGTGTGGTTTAACTGATTGAGAATGTCAGTGGTCTTTTTACTACATCATGCTGCCCCTCCAGATTTCCTTTGCTACCATTCCATTTTTGAGAGAGATACCTTTTCACCTTCAGAGTAGGGCTCTGACTCCTATTTCACAGAGGGACCATATGGTCCATATTTTCCCAGATCCCAGTTCAGTGGAAGATAAAAGAGCCACAAACTGGAGTTTAGCAGCAGGCTGAAGGAACTCCCTAATCCAAGATCCCAGCCAACTGCTAGCAGGAGTGAAGGGTGGGTGTCTACCTCCAACTCAAAGCTCAAGTGAAGGAACATGCTCCCTCCAGATGACTCACTGCTTTACCTACAAGCAACCCATTTAAAGACTGCCATTGTGAGCAGAATCAGCCCTCTGAGGAAAGAGGGGACCAGAAACCCCTGGAAAGGGAGATTGGAGAGGGTGAGAGGCTGAAAACTGGCAGTTACTGTAGCTGTCTCTAAGCTCCCTCTTCCAGTTCTCCCTGTCTCATTTGGAGTCTTTGGTAAATTTCAGTCCGCACTAAACTTCTTAAAGGGATTTGGCACAGTTCAGGTCCAGGATTGTAAACAACGCTCTTCCATGTCCCTCTACCTTCTTGGAGAGGCCTGGTGTGGAAAAAGAGAATTGTGTGCTTGCCCGATTCTATCCACTCCCAGCTAGACTTAGAATTTACTGTTTCATTTTCAGGCGAATGTTGAGCATCTGGTGCAAAAGATGAAAACAACTGTGAAAAGGGGCTTGGTGTTAAGGTACCTCATCTACGGTTTGTTCCTAAGTGAAGAAATAAAATGGTCAGGCTTTGGCCCTAAATCACAGAATGGATCCCTGGTTAGGACACTCTAAGGAATCTGTGGATACAGAGAGCAGGGCCAGCCTATCCCCTGAACCCTGGGAGGAGATAGGAAGGGAAGAACAAAGCCTACAGAGGCAGATGGGGGGTGGAGGGGTGGGGAGACAACTGGAGTCACTGGCTTTTGGTCTCCACCTGGCAGGAATGAGAAGTGCAATGAGAACTACACCACAGACTTCATTTTCAACCTGTACTCTGAGGAGGGGAAGGGCATCTTCGACAGCAGGAAGAATGTGCTTGGCCACATGCAGCAGGTGGGGAAGACACCCCAGTCAGGCATTTCACCAGGCGGCCATAACTCCCAGCAGCCATTGGGGCTCCCACTTGCCTTCTCCAATCTGCTGGAGGCTGGTCAGTGCCACCAAAAAACATGTGCCTGCAATCTTTTACAGTCATAGAATCAAAACATCTTTATCCTGGAAATGACCTTAGAGATTATGTGGTCCATCCTCTTCATTTAGGGCAAGGCTTCTCAACCTTGGTACCATTGCAATTCTGGGATGGATAATACTTTGTCAGGTGTGGCTGCTGTATACATCATAGGAAAGTTTAGCAGCATCCCTGGACTCTACCCTCGAGATGCCAATAGTACCTCCTGCTCACCCCCAGTTGTAACAAAAATGTGTTTAAACATTGCCAAATGTCCCCTGAGGGGCAAAGTCATCTCCAGTTGAGAGCCACTGATTCAGGTGAAGAAAATGAGGTCCAGAGAGGAGAAATAATGTTTTCTAGGCCACTCATCAAGCTTGGGTCAGAGCTAGAATGAACCTAGTCCATTGCTTTTTTTTACCACACCATGCTACTTTTCATGAGGAATCTGTTGAATGAGAATAGGCACTTGCTGATGTTGGGGCTTCCATCTCCACTAACTGGGGTTTCAAGGGAAAAGGAATTTCTCCCTACTGTTGACACTCAATCCCCACCCAAGGTAGGCCTCATTCACAGATGGTGCTAGTGGTCTGAGGCCCTCCATCCCAAATGTCCCCAGCTGATGCCTGCATTGACCTTTTTCTACCCACAAATGAATTCCCAATATCTCAGTTTGAATGAACTTATCATCCCCTGCAGGAATGGGGTATTATTGGATAAAGTATGAAGACTGCTTCCTGTTTTTTCCTTCCTTTACCACCTAGTTTTTCTCAGTTCAGAGAAAATCTGTATGATGTTTTACATTATTCTGAGGTACTAACAAGGGCAGCCAGTTTGGGTCACAGAGAACACTTCTGCATCATTGATGATGGTGACTGACAAAAACTGCTAGGCTGAAGAGAAGCTGGGAATTGACCCCATGGCCAATAAGACTAAAACAGGATCTGGCAGCTATAAAGCTAAAAGAGGGAACTGTGGGACCAATCATCCCCTTCAACTAATTAGTTACTCTTATACCCGACAAATGGCCATGTATGCTGGGCCAGCTCACCTTGGATCCTGGCACTGTCTCAGGGTATCTCAGGATTAGACTTTTAGATCCCATTTCTGGCTATAAACCTGGAGCCTGTTCTTTCCTTTTCCTCTCTGTATCTAGATTAGAGTCCTTCCCTCTGTAATTTTTATGATTCTTTTTCCAGGGTGGGAGCCCAACTCCATTTGACAGGAATTTTGCCACTAAGATGGGTGCCAAGGCTATGAACTGGATGTCTGGGAAAATCAAAGAGAGTTACCGTAATGGTAGGTGAGGTGGGAGGGTGAGCTCCCTCCATAGAGGCTGCTTCCCCAGTATAGAAGCTGATTGACCATCCCTATTGCAGGGCGGATCTTTGCCAATACACCAGACTCGGGCTGTGTTCTGGGGATGCGTAAGAGGGCCCTGGTCTTTCAACCAGTGACTGAGCTGAAGGACCAGACAGATTTTGAGTGAGTACATCTGTTCTCTGGAGTGGTTCTCTCCCTGGTAATTTCAAGCTCTGTTCTCCTCAACCTGTTCACTGTCTTTAGTCCTTTTTTTTTTTTTTTAACACCTATAGTTGTATCCTCTTCAGATCTGATGCCCATCCAACCTAAATACAGCCTCTTTTGCCCAACTTCCTCTCCTAAGGCTTTGGTAGAAGTTAACTGGGGTGCTAAAAGATTATATTTCATCTACCTCATTCCTCTGTAGGCATCGAATCCCCAAGGAACAGTGGTGGCTGAAGCTGAGGCCCATCCTCAAAATCCTAGCCAAGTACGAGATTGACTTAGACACCTCAGACCATGCCCACCTGGAGCACATCACTCGGAAGCGGTCTGGGGAAGCTGCTGTCTAAACCTCTTTAGGGTGAGAGGAACAGATTATCTGATCATGGTCAGCTCATGCACTGATAGGTCTAAGTCCACATTTTCTCAGTGTTTTAGCTTTTGTTTTCATTAAGTTTCATTTTATTCCGTACATGCAGCCATGATCAGTCCTGGCCAGGAGCTGGGGGAGTGGAAGTTTCTTTTAGGTAGATTTTATCTGACTTCTCCCCCAGCTTCATCGTCACACAAGGCTGGGTTCCTCTAGTGCTACTGCTAGATTTGTTACTCAGTTAAAATTTTCCTAAATATAAGCTTTATTTATTTCTTTGTGATAACAAAGAGTCTTGGTTCCTCTACTACTTTTACTGCAGTGACAAGCTATAACTACACTAATAAATGCCACTTGGTCACTGTGCTTTTGGTTCTCCTGTTATCATCTTCACAAGTAGAATGTAATATTAGCCCCATGTACCAGACCTGCCTAGATGGAACACCTGGGAAAACACAGCCCGGGTGATCATCCCATGTACTTCTCTCTACCTCTTGGACTATTTTTCTGCATCATCTCTTGGCTCTGTACACAGGGTCCCAGCCATTTGCACTAGTCCCTCATGCATTGTTGGCAGCCAAGAGAACTCTCCTGTCTCTCTTAAGCATAAGAGACACCTTTTGATCTTATACCCATTACCCAGGGTTGCTTTTTTCCAGCCATCCCACAATGTCTGCTCCTCTAACAGGCCCATGTTCTTCCTTCTCAACTTTCCCCCTGTACTCCTTCCTGGTTGAAAGCCAGACTCCATTTGACAGAACTTTCATGGGGAAGACATGTACATTTTGAAAGCCTGGAAAATAGACACCCTGTCCTGGACCTAGTTTGGTGGGTTGGTTGGGATACTGCTTTGGAAAGATGTCAGTTCTTATTCAGCTACATTTTGTCTTCTGTTCCATAACAGCTTCTTCTCTCTCCTTATTACCCAAGTGCCCATCCCAGTTGGTTTTAGGGATTGGGACTATAGACTATACTCCAGATTGACAGGATGGCACCCTGTTTTAATGCCAGTTTTAAAATTAGGCTTCAATAGTCAAATCCTGGCTCTAGGCACAGGCACATACATTCCTCCCAACCCACACAGTTTCTTCATTTGCCTGATGAAGCAGTAAGGACACTCAAGCTATTACAAGAGGTGGACAAAGGGACTATCTCTTGTCCATCACTTTCACTGGCTCTCCAGAGTATTACTGGCATACCCTAAACACAGTTCTAAACAGTGACTGAGAAGGCTTGTTGTCAGAGTCAGGAATTAAAGTAGCCAAATGCTCTTTGCACACTTCTTTAAGGGGAAGAAAAATTAACAATAAATATCATGCACTGTTACGTGTTATCATTGAATCCTCAAAATAGCTTTATGAGGGGGTGGTGACAGCCCCACTTCAGTGATGAGACACTGGGGTCAAGGTGATTAAATAATGTCTCCCTCAACATTATTCAAACAGAACTCAAACTCAGTTTCTGACTTCAAAGCCCATCCTCATTCCCTGTGCCTCTTCTTACTATGCCACATCAAATCCAAAAATCTAGACAAAAAGACAAAAAAAAAAAAAAAAATCTATAAGGGCTATGAAAATGAAATGAAAGGGAAAGTTCAAGCATTCATCCAGAACGTTATACGTTCTCTTCCCTATCTTTAATCCTGGAGCTGTTTCTCTGAGAAAATGATAAAGAGGGAAGGGATGGCTGAGTGGAAAGCTAATTACAAAGGCAAATATCGCTTTGTAATGAGTAAAAGATTTAGGATCTTAATAATGTCTGGGGAAAAAAGCATAGTGAAGACCACTTAAAAACAAAAAACAAAACCTCTGAAGGTGCATGCCATTTCCCTAGAGCTAAAAAGATAAGTGAAATTGTTTATAAACTCTTAAGTGCAGGTGAAGCAGAATATTTTAGCCACCAACGACATGAGTGATTATGAAGTATCTGAGAAAACAGTTAATATCTTTTCCCATATGGACAAATATTTTCCCTTTCCAGAATATTAAGTGTCTATGACGAGAAATGATAGCACCTAAAGCAGTGGTTTATAAGCCTACCCTGAATATTAGAATCCTCTGGGGTACCTTTAAAAATACTGATGCTCAGCCCCACCTTTTACCAATTAAATCATCCTCTGGGGGTGGAGCCTGGGCCTTAGTATTTTGAAAATTTTCCCTAATTAATACCTAGACTTGAGAATCACTGACTAAAGCAGTGAATCTCATTCCTGGCTACACATTAGGATAATCTGAAGAATCTTAAAAAATCCAGTGATGCCCCCAGCCCCACCCAGGAAACTCTAAAGAATTGGTGTGGGGTGAAATCTTGGCGTCAGTGGGTTTTTTTTTTTAAAGGTGACTGTAACCCTTGACTTGGTGTTGTTAGCACCACGCTCTCCCAAGTGAGATAACCGACCATCCCTATATAGGCATCCGAACCTGTGCCTTGGTGTTATCAGCACCACATTCTCCCAAGTGAGTCATGGGCCGGCCCTGGCATCAGTGTTTTTAAAAAGCCGCCTTGGTGATTTAATGTGCAGCTGGGGTTGAGAACATAAAAGCAGTATTTCTAAATTTGAGGTGGGGGAAGATATAAAGGAAGGGGAAGCCCTTCAAATACTCTGCTTAAGCCCTTCTGTTCACTCCACCAATGCCCAGAAACAGTATTGCTAATGGGAGAGAGGTTGGGATGGAAAGATACCTTGAAGAGCCAGGCAGTAAAGGAAGAACTTTTCCTAAAGTGGGTGGGGGAGGGGTAGTGAAGAAAAGCAGGAACAGTAGAAATTGCCAAACTTGCTTTGGAACTATTTATTTCCTCTTTAAATGGGCCAAAAAAAAAAACAGCAAAAGGACAAAAGAAGACATACTTTTTCAAATTAGCTGTGACAGCAGATCCCATTCATTTTGTTTGTAGTTTCCAAACAGCTTTAAAAAAAAGGTTTTTCAAATTTGCATACAGATCATCTAAGATCCATAACAACTTGATCTAGTTTAGGAACATGGAAAGTAAGGACATTTTAAATTAAGTATTGTTCACGAAAATAGATCTTTTTCAGTAGGTGGGCCATCTCAAAAGAAGCTCATATGCTTTTCCCCCACTCCCTTCCCAACTCCACCCCTCCACCAATGTTTTGCATAGATCAACAAAAAGCAAAGGTTCCAAAACAACTGAAAGGAAACTAATTCCAAACTCTTAGCAGAGCAAGCTTTCCATAGGGAATGAAGAAGACTCATGGGAAAAGGCAGCTAAGCCCATCAGAGCAAGCTGGCTTTCAGGAAGACAAATAGCAGAATTAGAAGAAAAGTTCTCAGGACTTTTAGGAGTTCTTAGGACTGCTTAGAACCTGCTAGCTCTTTTATGTGGAAAGCAGCAAGACACTCTTTCTGAAATAACATTGCTGAACTACTGTAACCCTTGGGCACACCCATGGCAAAGAGGCAGAGGCAAAGACTGTTTTTTCCTTTGGTGAGGGGAAAGGGGGCCAGTCCTTTCTGAATGCCCAATGACATGGCACTCTAGTGTTATCATCCAGCCCAATTCTGAATCTGCATACCATTTGAGATTGTAGTATCTTCATTTTGGGGACACAGTGGTCATTAGCTGGAACTGTGATTTTCTTAAACTTCTTCACAGATCAATTGAAATGTTTTCTACAAGGGATTCTTCTGGAACGTTAATCATGTTCCCAAAGGAAAACCAGGCACACATTCTTTAAATACTTTCCATTTTCCTACAGAAATTTAGTTGCACCGTTGACTCTTTCCCTAAAAGTGGGGGTGGGGGAAGGAAACTCTTCTTTTGCAGGGTGCAGTATAAAAAGCCAAATAAGCAATGAACAGAAAACAAAAGTGAGGGTTTTTTTGTTTGATTGCTTGGTTTGGGAGGGGAGGTGGTGTGGAGGTTACTGTTGTGACATGTTGCCTCAAAATCTATAAACCACACAACAGGAACAACTGCTTTTCTGTTTTCCATGACAAAGAGGCAGTACTACAGGGAAAAGCCTCACCCAGAGTTGCCTGCAGGATGGTGCAAATGTCCCCTCCAGGCTATTCTACAAGTAACAGGTATTCCTTCAAAGAAGCTGGTAGTGGAAGGCCCTTCACTGCATCTGGCAGATACTGGAGTCCCAGGCTACGGCGCACAGCATAGCGAGAGAGTGTTTTTAGAGTTCCTGGGGCTGAGCACAGAACAGTCAGTTTTTCACATAGCTGCTGGTCTCTGGCCACCTCTCGTGGCATGGTGCCATTTTTCCTCAATTCAAAGTGTCCAACAGCTCTGTGGAGAAGCTCAAAGCAAGAATCCTCTTTCTCTGTTCCAAGTCCCCTGACTAGCAGAGCCACCAGGCGGGAGATGGGTGTCTGGCCTTTTAAGTTGATGACTCTGACCTCTGCACCATAATCAAGAAGGATGCTGACACTCTCAAGATTTCCCTTCATGGCAGCCCAGCTGAGCGGTGTATCATTGTTGTAATCCAGGGCATTGACAGAGGCCCCACTCTCTAGGAGAGCTCGCACACACTCAGCATTGTTCTTAAAGGCTGCCCAGTGAAGTGGAGTATCTCTATTGCCGTCCAGTGCATTGGGGTTTGCACCATATTCCAACAGGACCTCCACACAAGCCTCATCTTTCTCTGCTGCATAGTGGAGGGCTGTTCGGTTGTAACCATCCAGAGCATTCACCTGTAAAAAGGGAGGAACTATATTACAGTAGACAGACTAGTGGGAGGGAGGTAGGAAAACAGCAAAGAAGGTTGCATGTATTTACCCACTATCTTTGTTACATGGCACTCTGAACAAGAGGGTCAACAAGCAATTCCCAAAGATGGAGATATGACAGGAGCTTAGGAGCAAATAGGAAAAGAACTGTCTCCAAACAGTCAACACTGTTATGTGCATTGACTAGCTGGCCTGCATTATTTAGGTTTTTGCTGCAATGTTTATTTCTCTGTTCATTAGACTTTGTACCATAGAGTAAGAGTAAAACAGGAAAAAATGAAATCTAAGTCTTTGCAACTGTTCTGAAAGACATTTACTGGACAGCTGCTTCAATATACAATTAGAGTAAGAGTTTTAGATTATTTTACTTATCCTGACTCTGTATCCTGGGGCAAATGGCAACCAGATTGAAAAATAATGAGGTCAAAGCTCTGCCCATATAGCTTTGCTATGTCTTTAATCATACAGAGAAGCTCAACTGTTAATCTAAGTCAGCCCTTCACAAAAATATGCTGTGGGTTCACAAGAGAACCCAGATGAAAGCATGTGAAGGGAAGAGCACAGGTCTTCCAATGCTGGAAAAGCAGCTGGCGTGCTGAAAGTCAACACCACCTATAATTTTTCACTTCAAATTCCCAAATTCATAAATAGCATATTATTTTCCCACAAAAACTGCAATAAAGCAAAACAAACATTTAAGTGAGTTCAACCTTTTATTTGGCTAACCCCCCTCAATTTTCCCTGGATATTTTCACTTTCACCATTGGCATTAGTCACTGGCTTTCACTTCAGGGTCACTCACAAAGAAACAGTTCTAATCACAAAAGTCATGGAACAGATGATGACAAGTAGAGAACGCCATGGCTGTATTAAGATAAGAAAGGCGTGGCCGGCCCTTAGGCTCACTGACCAGTGTGTCTGGAGCTGCGCACCAGCTGCATGAGCACCTCAGCACATGCATCTTAAAGACTGCTCACAAACAGCCAAATCTGCTAGTTTAGTATTTAATAAGCACTTACTTAGCAATTACTGTATGCCAGTGTCCCAAACACTTTACAACCTTATGAAGAAGACACCATTATCATCTCCATTTTACAGAGAAACCAAGGCAAAGAAAGGTTTAACGTGTTCAAGATCACACAGGTGGAAGTGGCTGAGCTGGAATTTGAATCCATGAAATCTGGCTCCAGATTCTTTTAATCATTCATTATACTATGCTGCTTCACACCAATGCCAAGGGTCTACTTTCAAAAATTAATCTTTGTTTTTTTATCTTAGGATACATTAGAAAGAAAACAGAAACAAGACATACTAAAACATAAAATAACTAATGAGCAGAAATAGCACAAATAGCCCAATCCTGAGGAAGGGATTGCCTTATGATATTTATCTCCCAGTGATAGTGGTATTAGAATAGTATTCTGATAGGAAGCCTCAAATGGTTTAGATTTAATCAAAGTTGAGGGGCCTCTGCATTTATAGCTTCTGGACAGTCAACGGGCAATGAGAGGATTAAATGGAAATATAAAAAGTCCCTAGAAGGTAAGCTGGGAGGGAAAAGGGAGATAAAACTCCTTCTTGGAGCCATAGACAGCTTAAATTAAGGAGAAGAAAGGCAAAGGAATGAAATCCTTAGGATCATTTTATATATTTAGCACTACATTTTGCTTTAATATTGGCTATGCAAATGTTGCCATGAGCTAGAAAGTCAGACTGGAGGTAGTAATAGATGCAGGACAGACAGGGAGAAATTCTAAGAAAATGTGAAGCTCAAGTTTTAGTGAATCATTAATGTGAAAGTGTTAAAACACATTACCTCAGCTCCTTTTTCCAGGAGTAACTCCACACAGTCAGCATCTGACACCATACAGGCACAGTGCAAGGGCTTCAGGGTACCATGGGTGCAGTTCACATCTGCTCCCTATGGGAAGAAGGAAACCTCAGTCAGTGTGCTCAGCTCTGGCTCACCCAGCAGGATGAGACTCAGAACTCACTCAGTCCAGGGGGAAGAGAGTTCTAACTCTGACTATATTATAAACCTATCATTGGTTCCTGGTTTCCATTTCTATTATTTAAATAAATAATATTTAATGTCAGTGTCCAAACCAAGGAAATATACTGAAGCTGAAGGAAAGGAACTGTCAATTCCTTAGATCAAGTTATAAAGTTTCTCCATTAGGTAGCCCGCCAGATGATCACCTGGGCATCATTGATGACATAACCTTATGTGAAAAAGCCGTGGAAATCTTATCACCTGGCAGGAAAGATGGACAAACAATCCACTTTCTATGGCAGGAAAGATGGACAAACAATCCACTTTCTATAGCAGGAAAGATGGACAAACAATTCACTTTCTATAGCCATCATGCTCTGAAAAAGTCAGGAAAGTCAGTCAGTCAGGCTAAGGCTAGAACTGGCATGCTCTTTTTGCCATTCAACAAATGACCATCACTAACAGGATTATCTTAACATTATTTTTGTTTATAAACATCTTCAAAGTAACCTCTTAGTATCAGCATTCTCTGTTAATTAGCCCCTGATGGTGCTTCTATTCCAAATCTGTAAAGGAGATAGAGATTAATTAGTCAGACCAAAGTCACTGAATGACTCAGCAACAGAGCTAGAATTAGAATGTGACAAAGTTTTTACTGCTGAGTCTTCTGACACCACTTTTGCTGAGAATAAGCTAACACTGACATTTCCTTCTCCAGTTATGACACACAGCTCTGAAGCAGCTACAGAGGTCCAGACTGTAAATGAGAATCCTAAAGTTGTTAGAAAGAATGTACAGAAGTAACTACCTGGATGCATTTTCTAGTGATCAAAAAATTACTGTAACTTCTCTTCAATAGGAATAGTATACAGAATAGGGTATCAAAAACTTTCTAGAATACTAGTCATATAACAGAATTACTGAAGAGCAGTGGTTAGATTTCAAATAAAGTATTTTCCTAATCTAAAATTACTATGCATTTTAGCAGCTGATAACCTTTACAGAACTAGAGTGGTAGCTGTTGTTAAGATAGAAGGCAAGTGAAATCTCTTCTTGTAATTATTATAACCAAAGTATGGAAAAAGGCTTACAGAGATTTGAAAACAACCTTTGTTTTTCTTCACCTCCTTCCTCCCTTAGTAAACATGTACAGAAGACTTTGAGCTCGATAGATTCCATATGCACCATATCCAGAGATTTTACAAAGAACATGAGACTACGGTTATCCAGAACACATTTCACGAAGAAAAATATCAGATACACAAAGTGAAAGGGAGAAGGGAAGCAAAGCAAAATACAGGGGGAAATATATTTTAATGATCAAGTTAATACATTTAAGAAGATTGTAAAAACTCCTTTTGATCTTATGCTCCATCAAAGCTGCAAATCTGTAATCTATTAGGATTTACCGGGAATTTTCCCATTTCACTTGCCAAAGGACTCTCGTGTCAAAAACAGCACACTCACCCCTCTGATGAGGTCCTCTACGTTATCATGTGGGAAGGAACGGATGGCAGCGATTGTTCGGATTAAGCGCTCTGAGAGAGAGTATTTGCTCTGAATGCTCTGCATAATATACCACATACTGGAACTCATCGAGGCTCAGTGTGTGTTCACATGCTCCAAACTGCCTGAAACAAAGAAGTTTTAGGCATATGCAATATCACTGAGCACACCTGTCCTTAGAGTTTAGCATTCTTTAAGGCCTTCCCAATACTAAAAGCAGATTTGAAAGAGATCAGTGCTTAATTAATGTCATTTTTCATAATCATAAGGATCTAGATTATAATAGTTGCTTAGGGACCTGGGTAAACCTGGATGAAAACGTTCTGACCTTTAGGACCTGTGTCTTATTCTCTGATCTAGTTTAGCACAATATTTCCCTATGAGGTAGTAAGAATCCTGTGGAGCTCTGTGTGGTTTACAAACAAGACTAGGGCAAGGAATGGGATTTTTAAAGGCTGAAGATGCGACAAAACATTCTTTTTCTCCTCTGAATTTTTGTGGTCTTTATTATCAGCATGACCTTTATGTTATTTATTAAATTGGCCTTGCAGTAGTTATGTACATATTGTTTCTCTATCTAAATTGTAATCAATTGGAAGGCAAGGACCTTGTCTTCTGCTTTTTCACCCATGTAAGGGCAGCCACAGAATCTCACGATAATGAGGTATTTAACATATATTGGTTGGTTTAATGACTAAATGGTATGGAAGTGATTGTTACCTGTGAGAAGAGAGGGAGAAAGCTATGGAACAAATACAAGTGTCTTAATAATGACAAGGCATTTGTGAAATATTTTCAAATGTCTTCGGCACAGAAAAAAATATGAAATATTTGAGTCAATATTCTAAAATAAAAAAGGAAAGCAAAAGTATAAATGTATTCACCAAAACAAAATTAGAAAGAAAAAAAACAAAATTCATACCAATGAAATATGCTTTCAGTTTTAGAAAAACAAACATTTAAAATAAATCTAAACTTTTAATGATTGGCTATGTATGATGATTGGGAAATAGATTTGAGGAAATGTATGTTGAAACCACTACACTTGGTTGACATGACAGAGAGTTCTAGGATGGAAGAAGAAAATAATGCAGTATACTTAAATTCAACTATGATTCAGCTCTATAAGAGGTACTAGTCAGGTAACATCTAAAATTATAGCCAATAAGGTATTACAGCCATGGAGAATTCTATGAAAAAGCACATATCAAAAACTGTACAGAAAATATAATATGCAGTATCAGTTCTCTAGGTGTAACTGCTTAGGAATCCATGTTCTTATTAAAATATGAGCTCCTTGAGGGAAAAGATCGTGTTTTTTCAATAGTGCCTGGCACGTGGTAGGTCCTCAGTATTTGTTGAACCAACATAAACCTTATTACTTTGGATCCTAATAAATTCAAGACTTGCAAAAATTAAGCACGTTATCTATATGGTGAATACTAAAGGAAAAATCCTAAAATTATTTTGGCCATTTCATAACATACAACTTTTGTTTCTTGTGATAGAGTATCCCTTTATACATTATATTATATACTATAAACTCTAATAGTTTCTATTTTGCTAATCAGTAGCGATTTAGATACGTTAAATATATACACACTATTAATAGAATGCAAGTAAAAAATATTCAATTCATAGGTTATCAATAATTCAAATTGGGTATTTTCTCCCCAATTTATTATGAATGAATAAACTTGCACACTTATGTATGTCTCTCTACGAAATTTCAATCTGTACGAAATTTTCTAGATAGTTTAGATTCGGCATATGTTTTAATCTCTCCAATAACCACTAAACTCAGAGACAAAGGTCTGTATCTTATATTTCGTAAGCAAGGGAAAAGGAGGAAGAAAGGCAGAGGTGCATTTGCGTCAGCGATTCAAAAATCGGAGTAGAAAACAGCATGTAAAGTGGGAGGCTTGGACTGAAGTGGTTCTGTTAAGCGCTTGTGGGCCATGATAATATGAAACTAAAGTCTGTACTCATTTTCGGGGCGCTCTTAGACTCCAGGCAAAGAACTCCTGAGAATATGGCTAGTGGTCTTCTGCTGCAGCCTCGAAGCTCGCGATAAAGGAGTGAAACTGCGGAGCAGGTTGACAACATTCACAGGAAGGATTAAGAAAATCTAAACTCGACTTCTCTCCCGACAGCAGGCCGTGCACGGTTTGACCCCTAGTGGGCTCTTTCCTTTGCTGGGGCTGAAAGGCCTCCCTCGCCCCGTTTTCTTTCGCTACGGGATCCAGAGAAAACACCAAAGGGATTTTATTGGGAAGCTAAAAGCATAGTGGGAGAGAGACGACACTCAACAGCTGTGGTGCTAGTGAGGCTTCGGCTTCCTCGGGAGACCCTCGGCCGAGCCAGAGGCGCCACCAAACCCCACCGCACCTGCTGCGGGAGGGCTTGCGGCAGCTTCGTCTCGCCGAGGGGAACAGAGGGCGAGGCAAGGGCACGAAATGCAAGGACGTGTCGTGTCATTTTCCGCACGAGCTCCCAACAGATCGCAGCCATCCCGGCAGGTCTCCCAGTGCCGGTACTGAAAGGGGTCGCACAGTCTGCTCCAGGAAGCACCATACGCGGACCAACCCCCGCCCGGATCTCCCCCATAAGGCCCGGAACGATGTCTCAGCCTCGAGGGCTCGCGGACCTCCAGCGGGAAGTCGAGGAAGCGTTACTGGGCGTGGTGCCCCGAGCTAGGGAACCAGGCTGCAGACCTGCCCGCACCGAGGACCGCACTCACCGAATCGCGGCACTGAGCTGGGTCTTGAAAGCCGCTGTCAAAGCGTGACCCGGAAGCAGAAGTTGTAGCCAGCGGGCCCCTCTGTTTACTGGACAAGAAGACCGACTAGGAGAGGCGCCTGCGCACTGCCCAGCGTCCATAAATGGGACGCGCCTGCGCAGACTTGTGAGGCAGTCTCTCATTCCCGGGCATAGTTAGTGGGTCACTTTCTCCCCTAGCCCAGAGGATTTGCGCGCAGGCGCAATGTGGCACTCTCGGCCGCAGCCCTGGGGCTCGGGTCCTCGCACTGCCGTGGGAAAACAGCTCGCGAACCCTAGTTGTTGGGCCAATTCTGTATGGCCGCGCCTGCGTGGACCAGGCCTGCAGTGAGTTCATCCCACTGTCCTCTGCCTTCCACTGTCTCTATCTAATTTCGGGTCTGAGCACCTCATCCCAGATTATTCCCAAACTCGCTAAACCAACCACTGCCTTTTCCACTAAGTCCCCACTGATTCAGTTGCTTAGGAGACTAAATTGTTAAGAAGTGTCTCTGGCAAACAAAAGAACTTCCAGCATTATTCAAAATGTTGGAACGAATCTATGCTCCTTCTTAGAACCTTCCTTGATATTGTCTACCCGTCTTCAAAGTGGACTATACCAAAGACAAACAAGCACCCAAGAGGTATAGTATCCGAAATGTTGAGGACTAAAAGGGAGGTACATGTTGACAATAACCTTTCCCACGCAGAGAGATGCTGACAAGTCTGAGTGACATACTTTCCGTGCAAAGCACCAATGTTTCAAAGTCAGCAGCACATCGTGGTTCAAGGTGAAGAGTGAAGCAGCCCACACGGGCAGGCTAAATTCTGCGATCCACGCTGCAGCCTTTTTAACCACGTGCTCTGGAACCTACTCCTCAATGCTTGTTCTAAGCAACAAGATCTAGCCAGTTCATGTACATTAGTGAAAGGATGGTGAACTGAAAGCTCATGACCAGCCCGAGGAATGAGCCTCTTCTGGGTTCCAAACTCAAAGGAATTTTGCATGCAGGAATGTGTCCCCCAGCTCCTATCACTGAGCCATGTTGAGATTGTCCAATTTTTCAAAAGAAGCTGAAATCCAGATTTTTTTTTAAGTGCATTATTTCAAATTTCAAATGTTGGCAATTTTTTTAAATCATTTTTTTTAAAGCAGGCAACATTCAGTCTACAAACTACCTCTTCTAGACTCTGGATTAAAGGCTGTTTGGGTCATTGGTAGCTCTGTGGAAGAAGGGTTTAAGGACAGCCCTCTGAGAGGGAGTTTGGAGGGCTGACTTGAAGATGTAGTTACATATATATGTATGTGTATATATATATATATATATAATTAGCTTTTTAAAATTTCGTATCATTCTTTTAAATTTTTTTCTCTTCTATTTAAAAAATTTTTTATTTTTTGTAGGTACATATTAATCTCATTGTTTTTTATTTAATTCTTAGATTCACTTGGGAAAGCTTGAAGGAACCTGAATGGGATTACAACGGAGGATAGAGCTCCCCACCCCCATCCCTCAAGCCACTGTAAGGCATTTCTTTGAATTCAATGAATGGAAACAGTTTGATTCTGTGCCCATTGCTTCTAACCAGAAATCTATACATTAGGCCCCTAAAGAACATTATACGTCCTAACACAGGAACTAGATATACCTGAGTCAGTGCTGCTCCAAAATGGGGAAATGCATTCTGGGAACCTAAGACCTTCCTGGCCACCAGCAGAGAAAATCAAGACACCTACATGTCTTGTCCAGACCTAACCTCATTTCAGTCATTACCTCTCAAACTCCCATCCCTGTGTCCAGAACCACATGACTCACATCAATAGCCTAGTGGTTTATTCTCCCCTGAATCCGCTTGGATTCTATTTGGCTGGGGAATTATAAGGTTTGAGGCAGGGACATAATAAATTCCATTCCATGATGCCATGAGCCCAGGCCTGCTAAGTCATTTTCTCTCTAGACCTAGTAAGATGACTCTCTCCTTGGCCCCACACATTGCTCTCTCTCAAAGTGGAGCATAAGCTTCACACAACTGACCTGTTGTGAGCTTGGTGACTGCCTCTCTAGCCTTCATCTTACTAAGCCTAGCTTCAGTGGGTCTACTGCTCAGTTTCTGAGAAGTCACTGCACAACAAAAGGAGGTCTCTACCTATAAACAGTAGAGATGATAGAGTCAAAGGATCCAGCAAATGGAAGTACTGCACCTGAAGGGTGGCATCCGTCCCTCCTCTTGGGTTCCATGACTTGGCAGCTCTTGTTCAATGTCATGTGCCAACCAGTGCAGTAGAAAGAGTGTAAGACTAGAGAACACAAGACCTATGGGTTTGTCTTGGATCTAAAATTGATTAGTTATTTCATTCCATTTCTCTGAGTATTAGTTTCTCCCTTGTAAAGTGAAAGCACTAGCTGAAATGATCCATACATGTTCTTCTATTTCTGTGAATTCTGATTCCACCTAATTCCTTTTTTTTTTTCTGGCCAGTACAGAAATCTGAATCCATGACACCTTGGGATTATATAGGCTGCACTTTAACCAACCAAGCTAAACCAGTCAGCCCTGATTCCACCTAATTCCTAATCAAAAATTCTTGCTTCCAAAATTTTTACTCTGTAGTTCAAATGCAAACAGATTTATGGCTATCATAATACTAATGAGACCTGTGAAAGTTATAATAAGATGGCAAGGTCTACATAGTTTCTGTTCCATTTTTGCTTCGTCTGGTGCCTCCTGTAGAGGATTCGTAAAGCAAATGTACTTCACAGGGCCTGATTTTCCAAAGCCTTGCAGTTTCAAATATTGACCTTGCAAAGAACAAGAAATTTTCCTCAGGCTATAAAGTCACTGGTGTAAGATAAAGATCTGTAACACAGCAAGGTTGCTAGCTCAAAGACAGACTGGTAACTGATTGATATGTAAGGTTACTGGGAAGTTGCTGGAGGTAGAAGGAATGTTTGCTAGATCAAGATTTTATTGGTGGATCACTTAATTGTCTAAGGGAATGTCATCTGACTTGTTTTTACTGAATGTTACCAGCTTCTATTGTTAAACTTGTTAAACGGTGCTTAGCAAAAACCCCACCTATGTCTCTTCCTGTAACTTCCTGGTCTGGAGAATAAATGCAGGAGGAGAACCCCAGTTTGTGGTTAATTTTCCAAGGAAGGAATGCCTCTCCCTTGAGGGTTCCAGGGAAGATTAACCACTTCAGGGCTTCTCACTGCTCAGAAGAGATGGGCTTTGAGTAATCCTTTGTGGCTCCGTCACCCAGGGGAAGTGGGGTGACAAATCCATGGGGGGCAAAGCAACAGCCTCCTTTCTAAAACAGAGTAAAGACAGTGATGATTCCCAACATTAATTTTTTAATGTTATTTTTATTATAAAAAGTTTAAACAGGGCCGGCCCGGGTGGCGCACCGGATAGTGCGCCGCTTGGGAAGCGCGGCGGCGCTCCCATCCGAGGGTTCGGATCCCACATACAGACCGGCTCCCGCTCACTGGCTGAGCGAGGCACGGGAGCAACGCCGAGGCTTGCGATCCCGTTGCCGGTCCCCGGTCCGGTACGGGGGCAACACTGAGGGTTGCGATCCGTTGCTGGACACGGAAAAAAGACAAAAAAAAAAAAAGTTTAAACATACAGAAAAACTAAAGAGAGTAGTATGATGAATTCCTTATACCCATCAACTATATTTAATACATTAAGATTATGCCAAATATTTAAACCTAATTTTTTGTTTCTTAATTGTTCTGTCTAGCTTTAGGATTTTGAAACAAACTACAGTATTCAAACAATATCCATAGTTCCTGCAGCTTTGGGGGAAATTTTTTTTTCTGAGAAGGCTTGATTTAGCTTCCCATAACTTTTCTAAAAACCTGAAATATCTCTTCTTTGAAAAAAGATATTCTTTTTACCCCTGTGTTGTCTCATCTCTCAAATTTCTTGGTTGGTAAATGCTAAGGTAAATAAATTCTAGAAAACCACCAGCATCTTATAAATGTAAAAAGTGAATGGAGTATCCCAGGGAGTGATAAAACAGGCTATTCATACAAATTATTTTAATGTGTCTCCAAGAATTCACTGCACAACAGAGCAACTTTTATTTTCAGATCCATGCACTCATCCATTCATCAAACATTTACTGAGTGCCTACTTTGTTCCAGGCTTTGTGCTCAATTATGTTGGGGGAAACAGAGATGTAGAGACACAGTCCTTTGTTATTAATGGTTGGGAGACAGACAAGAACATTGTCAATTGCAATTAAAGATTATTACTTCAATGAAGATTTTATGTACAAAGTCAGTGTTGAAGAACAGTTCTACTTCATGGTGATACCAAGAGAATGTAGGGAGGGAGGGTCTGTGAAGAGGTTTCTTGGGGAGAAATTTGTGTGTGCTGTTGAGTCCCCATTCTCCTCCCACCCAAAGGGAGAGGAAGTGATGGCATTACTTCCTTCTCAAGCCTAAGAAGGAGCTTCTGTGGGACCAGAGAGCTTGGAAATTGTTCCCCATAGTTGTAAAACAGAAAACTGTACCAGCTCTTGCCTATAAATTAAAGAGGGCTGTAGCCACAGAGTAGATAGAGGGGGCTGCATTGGGATCTGCCTGTACTCCCAGATTCAGCAGGGATGATGAATGTGTAAATGTTTCCCTGGACCAGATGTGGGCCACACAGAAGACAGCCAGCATGGGATTGCCTTTGGTCTATTCAAAAGAGCTGTCTAGAAATGTGGAGGGACCCAGTGGCCAGAAGTTAGAGATGAATACAGGAATCCTAGAATCTGCAGAGCTAGTCACAGGCAACCACTTGCATCTGTCTAGGCCAAAGTAATGCAAGTGAGAGGTCTCTAATGATGGGAATCTCCAAAGAACCTTTAAAAGCACAATTCAAGAAGAGGAGCCAGTTTTAACCATCTGCCAGACACAGTACAGACCTATACTACCAAAAAAGAACTGCCCTATCCTCTTAGCTGTCCTGCCTTCTCCTGCTTTTATACAAGCAGATCAAATAGCAGGTAGCTAGTGAGAGAGGAGGTAACTGGGGAGAAAGCTGAAGGCAGGCAGCCAGCAGGCCTTACAAGGGGGTGGGAAGAGTGGTCTT